GCAGTTTGCCGCTTTGCATTACTGCCGCGGGAACAGTGTCCATACACACCTCTCGCCACTACCACCGTCTGTGCATCCTCACCGCCACGCTGAGCCAGCGCGGCGGTGAGTTGCACCTTGGGACACCACCCGCCTACTATCTGTTGTGGCCTGGTTCGCCCGCGAGGGACTCACTAGGTCGATATCGGCCCCGGCCGGGGAGCAGGCCGAGGGGGAAAGGGGTATTGTGAGGGCAGCGGAAGGTGCGGAATTTCAGATGGAATATCCTTCTGTGAGCTGGGTGTTGTAGAAGGTAGAAGGAGCTTACTTGGCGTGCAGCGCACCATTGCTGCTTGCGGACGAGCGGCACTGGGAAGGAGGCTCTCAAGCGGTCACTTTCCAGCCTGAAGGTACCAGTGGGCCAACAACCTCTCGACTACAGCAGTACTTTATCGCTTTCGACGACATCTTGGGCTACGTCGCGGCGGGAGACCAAGTTGCACCGCACCTTATCCTCTGATTTCGACGTGGACAAACGGTCTACGCTGATGAACCCGGGGAATACTCGCGAGCTGCTGGAAGGCATCGTGTACAGCACCCACGATGAGCGTGAACTCAGCAACCCGGGGCGGTAAGACGCCATGCCGTCTATGCCCATGAGTGAACCTCTGACCAGCATGACTCATTTCAGCGGCGGAATTTGCTCGGGGCTGTCACTTTTTCTCAACGGCAACATGACGTACTACAGCTGCAAGAAAAATACAGCACTACGGCAGTACAGCAGCAGTCGCAGTCGTGCAGAGTGTTCCCGTGCAGCAGCCGTTCGTTCCAGCGGCAGCATTCGCACGGCAGGTTTGGCAGATTTTGTGGGTTTCATCAGCCGACGTCGTGTGTGGTGTATGGCAGCGTTAGTGACTTTCAGCAGCAGCCGCGGCAACAGCCGCTGCTGGCGGGCTTTGCCTGCGGTGTGGGTGGACAGACAGTTGAGTGATGGAATGTTCGTTGGTGGCAAGGGGGGGGCTGCTGCCGGTTCGTTCGCAGCGTATTTGCTGGTAAAAGTTCCCACCAACGTAGCTTCACTCAACGTCTACACAAACCGCCACTCGCCTTCCCAGCGCCCCGCGACATTATTTGTAGCACCTGCAGGAGCGCGGCTACGCGATGAGCTGGGTCTCATGGAGGCCGGATGCTACAGTAGGAGTAGGCGTGTAGCGGAGAAGCACGTGCTTGGATCGTATCGCGTTGTTGTAGTTTCGCCGTCCGCGGAATCGCAACAACACAAGCAGTCGTCATAGCTGCAGCAACCAGCAGCCCCACCTGTGCCATCATAACGTACACCATGTCGATGAGATCCGTCCTGCTGCCTCACCTACAACGGCTGGGGTCTATGGAACGGCGTCAGCACCGGCGGCGGCCGTGGTGTGTGAAGAAAAGAACCGTCAAGAGCGATGGAAGCAACAGTGCTGGTCCTGGAGGAGCCTGTCGTAAGCAGCAGGAGCGTCTACAGCAGTGGCTTGAAGAGGTGGAGACTCTTCCGATGGTTGGGTACGGGGGGCAGCCAAGGTGCATGCGCCGGCAGCGGCGGCGGCAGCGGTGGCCAGACCTGCAGCAGCGGCGGAGACAACGGCCCATCTTGGTTTCGAGAGGGTCGCGTCGTACCCTTTTTACCCTGGAGGGTTGTTTACGTCGGGGGTGCGCGAAAAGGGAGACCACGGCAATGGTGGTGAGAAGGAGGACCCGAGCAGCGGCGGCCACAGCAGTGACAGCGGCGGCGGCGGCGATGGCGCGGCCTGGGTAGGAGCGTCAACTCATTCCCTCGACAAAGGGAAGCTGTCCCGGTGGAGGAGAGCGACCAGGCGGGCCGTGCTGGGAGTGGGCGGCCCATTGCGATCGGGGTAGAGATGCATGGGCACATGCCGCGGGGTGATTAGTCGCGCCAGGTGAGCAGTATCACAACCGACGTCGTCGCGGCTGGCGGCGGCATCGACGCTAGCGGTGGCGGCCACAGCAGCGCCGCTGGCATCGACGTGTCCACGCGGTGTCATGAGCGAGCGACCGGGGGGAGAACCTACCCTTGTCCGTTCCCGCCCTCCCATGCCCCTCATAGCGCTACACCTGCAACGAGACCTCATCGACGTACGGACAACTTGCGCAGGGGCGGGCACAGCGCGATTTGGGGAGTTGCAGCGAAGCGGAAGACGGACGTTTGGCTCCGGTTGACACCCTCGAGTCGACCGAGCAGGGGGAGGAAACGCCGGCCGCGACGAACTCGCCTCATTTTAGCCTAATGGGAAACCGTATCAAATGTTAACCATGTACATCAGACCAACATGTCAACTATGAACTCCATCCAGTCCTTTGTTGCACGCGCCAAGACTCATCCATGATCGATGATGCATTCCTCGGACATCTTTTACTAGGTTTAATTGATGGTCCCCCGCCCCCCAATGGGGCGGGCGGCCAGAACGAGACGGTCGGCGGCGAGGGATTGGGAGGAAGTGAAGTATATTAGAAGAAGAGGGAAGACGACCGAAATATAATATAGGTGGCAACCAAAGATACAAAAAGTCTGTGGACGTAATAAAAGAGCCGAGCAGTTGTCCGGCCAACGAGCAACTGTTCCAGAAAAGATCATAACCTCAAAAAGCCAAATACAAGTTCCTCAAGATCCTGCAGATTTGGATCCTCGGGGTGATAACAAAGACCATCAACATCAATTCCTTCACAAGACCGTTACGGTCTCTTGGAGATCGTACAGAACGGTACTACAAAATTGTGCCTATCGCCATTCACTCCGCAGCTCCTAATCACGCACTTTGGAGACCCGAACGCCCGAGGTGCGAAATATCAGACCATCGGACGTCCTACAATATTTTGGACGCCCTAAGCAAGTTTCAGCTTGATTGGCGCCTCCTGCGTTAACGTTTGGCTGCGTCGGTGACCGGGTCTTCTCAAACTAAACACGAGCATGCAGCAGGCGCTTCCGGCACCAAACTGCTCCGATCTCGATGAATTTGTGACTAAACGTTGCCTACCCTCCCCACCAAACTGAAGCCCCGTCAAATCTACGGCTGGATCGACAAGTCCTGCGACGCTGCAATAGCTGTGAGTCCACGAATTTCGCCTCCCAACGAGAGGTTAGGGCCGCACCGCTGCAACCTCCCGACGCGAAACAATGTTCCGCCGCATTTCTCACGGATATCATCAACAACGTGAAAACCTGATGAGTGATGGCTCTCTCTTTTTCTTGTCGGAGCACATCCATCCATGCATACATTGTAAAATAACTCCGATCTCGACCAATTTGCGCGTGCGTAATTGATGACCACCCGCCATCAATTTCCAATCTGCAACAACATCGGGATGACCCACTTCGAGGCCGGGATTAGCCTGCGAGCAACACGATCGCGGCGCACCCCTGTTACCTGGCCCGCGGAGGCGGCTTCTTCCGCCACGTTTCAGCGGTTTCATTTATTTGGTCTTGTTTTGAACGCGCGCGGGCATACATGTGTTTGTCGGCCCCTTTGACAAAACATTTTCCCTGCGGCTCATCGGGTTTATCATTTGTTTTCTTCTCTCGGTGGACCGGCACATTAGCGGACACCTTCTTCTTTGTTCGGAACTCGAATGAACGGTCGTGTCTTGCCCGTGGTGTGCTGTACAGCAGCGTTGGGCCGTCGCGATTGTTTTAGCGTGGCATCACAGCAGTAGGGATCGTGTGCTGTGTGACTGAAGTGTGTACAAGATGTGGGTTCATGACTCTCTTTTCGGCATACATCATCATGAAGTGTCGCCGATCCGGTCACCCGCGAATGATGCGCGTAGCATCGAAGCTGTAGGATGCAACAAAACATTAGCCCGCGTACTTTTTTACGGAGCACCGATTAATTGTGGTTGCGAATCTCTTCTCGTCTATACTGTCTACATCAGACGAATCGAGCATTATTAGCCTATGGTTGTCCGTCTTTGCTTGCCGTTTTCTTCTTGACAAAACCGTCGTCGCAGGGATGGCACAAGAACAAATGCACGCTAGGTTTTTGTGTATGAATCTTTTCATCTCGTCGGTGTGCCCTCCACACCACCTTCAAAGAGATGCCGAAGATCTCTTGAGTGATAACTAGCGTTGAGTTTAACTGAAAATCCGCGTTTGCAGCGCCCGGTGGAAACGAGAGACTATCTTTAAAGAAAAATGCAAAAAATGCGTAGAGGACCAGCACCGTTGCCCGAGAAGCTGCGATACCAATCAAAATTTGAGCTTTGAAAACTCCGAAACTGCGACTGGTGGTATTCTTCAAGTAGGGACGGCTGGGAACCAAGAAGAGTAGCCGTGCAGTGCAGCAGAGTCTCCAGCAGCAGTTAGCAGCAGGTATTTCCTGATACCGCCTCAAACCCATACGCGCAGTCGGTGCTGGGCAGCACCAAGAAACGTTGATGTCCAGCGATATGCATGAATGAAGAGGAAGCCAATATGTGAAACTACTGGTGGACAACCACACGAACGTGTATGTAGTACACAAGTTATGGCGCTACGGTCCGGAAGTTCCAGAAGGACACAAGAAAAGGATGCACGACATAAGCCAAACGCGCAGGCGGTACTTGGCAGCACCAAGAAACGTTCACGCTCAGCGATATGGATGGATAAGTCAGGAGGCACATTTTTTTTTCTCCCATCATTGGACTCTATCGGCTACCCCTGTGGCCGCCATCCTCCACTTTCACAAAATGTGGCGTCCTGCAGCAGCGGGGGTGGCGGTGCTGCTGTAGCTCGTAGACTTTGTAGTCTACCACAGAGGTTACACTGCTGTCACCGCTCTATCACAGAGGTTGGTCTACACCGCTGTGAGATCGGTAGGCCCGAGCGAGCTCTGGAAAGAGAAATGTAGATAGATTTTCTTATCAATTGACTCCCTGGTCAGGCTTTGATGGGTGCTAGATGAGAGTGAGCACAAGGGGCGAAGGCGCGCTTGTGTCTCATCTCAACAATAAAACAAAAACAAAAAAAAAAGCAGCAAAAACACAGCAGGTTCCGAGGGTCTCCGGGGTAATGGCCCGAGTACCGGAATTTCGGGGTTCGGAACAATAAAACAACTACAGTCTCGCCTGCCAAATTATCTCCGCTACAACTCTGTGCTCATGTTCTCTGCTAAGTACCATCTCTTCTTTCTGTATTATGTCTACGGAAGTCTAGTTGTCGCAGTCGCACCTATGGTAAACTGTGCCTGACTACGTTGTAACAGTTTTCCTCGACACGTCCCCTCGATTAGGCAAGTAGCCGATGTTCCAAACTTCACTTCGCCGCCATTTTTGCGACCCCTCGATTCCCAATCCATATCAAAGANTCTTCTTTCTGTATTATTTCTACGGAAGGCTGGTTGCCGCAGTCGCACCTATGGTAGACTGTGCCTGACAACGTTGTAACAGTTTTCCTCGACACGACCCCTCTATTAAGCAAGTAGCCGATGTTCCAAAACTTCACTTCGCCGCCATTTTTGCGACCCCTCGATTCCCAATCCATATCAAAGAATATCGACCTCCACATGAGTGAATCCATCCTGTGAGCAATACACGGGTCCAAAACATTCAACCATACTATGCGGTCTTGTGCTTAATATCTTCTAGCACTTGTAGTCCTTGATGAGTTGCATGATGGTGGCGAATCGCTGCTTCGGGAGATGTTTCGTCGCGATGTCCGCCAACATCGTGGCACTAGGTTGGTGGTGAAGAGTGATCCGGTGCCCCTTCGTGAGTTCCCTGAGGAAGAAGAACCGGAGCGCGATGTGCTTGGTTCTAGAGCTGAACATCGCGTTGCTGGCCACAGTCAATGCTCCGGTGCTGTCGCTGTTGATGGGTACCGATCGAAAGGTCTTGAATCCGATTTCCGTCATGAAGTTGGAGATGTAGACTGCCTCGCGAGCACTGAAGCTCAGCGCTTGAAGCTCGGCCTCCACGGTGTTCTGTGCTGCGAGAGTCTGTGCCTTGGCTCCGTAGCTGATCAGTCCCCCTCCTAGGAAGAACAGGTATCCGGTGGTAGACCTGCCGTTGTCTGGGTTGGCTCCAAATGACGAGTCAGTGAAGCACGAGAGTCTGAACTTCCCCTTCTTGTACACGATCGGCAGGTCCGGCGTTCCGCGTAGGTACCGTAGTAGGTGCTTGGCCGCAGCCATGTGGACCTGTGCTGGGTTTGCGCATGCCCGTGTCAGTTGGTGCACTGCGTATGACAGATCGTAGCGGGTGCATTGGGCAAGGTACAGGAGACTCCCGGTGATGGCCTGGAATCTCTGCTTGTCCTCGGGTCCGAGTAGTTGGTCTTGTGGCTGCTCGGTTGATAGTTCTACTCCATACCCGGGGGTGCTGACCGGGTTTGCCTGTTCCATTCCGTATCGCTGTAGGATATCTCTCGCGTAGGGTCCTTGCGATATGGCTAGTGTGCCATGTTCGTAGTCCCGCTGCACTTCGATGCCGATTACGCGCTTGACCTCTCCCATGTCTGTCATTTCGAAGCTGTCCATGAGTTCCTTCTTTTTCCTGCTTACGATCTCCTTGTTTCCGCCCGTGATGAGGATGTCATCGACGTAGATCGCGAGGATTGTGAGTTCGTCCCCGCTTACGAAGATGTAGACACAGGGGTCAGAGCGAGTGCGCTGCCAGCCGAAGATGATGAGTCTGTCATTGATGGCGTCGTTCCACAGTGACGGGGACTGTGACAGGCCGTACAGACTTTTCTCCAGTTTGTAGACCATCATTTCACCTGTCGTAGGGTCCCTCTCCTCGTCGCCTGGCGCCGGCCTGACGTAGACGTCTCTGTCGGTGTACGCGTTCAGGAATGCAGCTACCACGTCCAATTGGTACACCTCCCATCCGTGTTCGCAAGCGATGGCGAATAGCATTCGGATGCTACCCAATCGGGTTACTGGAGCGTAGTTCCTTCCGAAGTGTCGTCCTGCTCGTTGGCGGTGTCCCCCCGCGACTAAGCGGGCCTTGAAGCGGCTGTCGGCCTTGATCTTGAACACGAAGCGTGTGTCGAAGATGTCCTCATCCTTCGGTACCAGGCTGATGCGTACTTTCTTAAAGACTTTGTGCTTGGCGAGATTACCCATCTCGGTGTCGATAGCGCTCTTCCACTGCTCGCGTTGTGGTGAGTTCATGGCTTCGGTGTACGTGCTCGGAGTTTTGATCTCTTGGTGTGTCTCCCCCAAGAACCCTTTGCTCGAGGTGCCCATGGCGTAAGCATACGCCCGGACTTCGGCGAAGGGGTCTTCATCCAGGTGAGCAAAATCCGCCGCGTCAGTAGGGCATCGTTGCTGCGCTTGGTGGGTGAGATCGAGTAGTTGATCCTCGGTGAGCTCCAGTGGGTCGGGGTGGCTGACAGCCATGGCAGAGCGGCCTCTGTCGTTCATGTTCACTTCCAGAGATTTCGGGATGCATGAAGGGTCGATAGGGTCATCTGTGGGTTGGTGAGTGCGCGTGGCAGGACGGGTCACCGTTAATCGACGCATTGGGATGGGGGCTGGCGAAGCGGAGTCCGTGTCTGTTGGCGTCGTGGGTGATTCGAGTGTCGTGTCCTGCGATGTCCTGGATGGTGTCGTAGTCCGCGGGTTGTTGTTGCTGTCAGCTCCCCCAGCAGCAAAGTAGTTGTGTGTCCATGCCCGCGTTGTTTTGGCGAAGTTCTGCTCGGTTGATGTTGTCTTGCTGCATGTTGCGCATCTCGTGCAGCAGGAGCTCTGATTGTGTTCCGGAGTTCACTTTGTTGTCTTTGTCGCCCGTAGAGGTACGGCGTCCGAGCAATGACATGAAGTTCATCACGTCCTAGTCATATCCGAGACGGTCGTCCCACCGGTGAGGGGGGATGGTGTTGGGTGGAGTCTCGATGAAAGTCACGTTCCGGCTCTCGTAGACCTTGTCTTTGCCCTCCACGTAGATCCGGTACGTCTTGCTGTCAGGTCCGTAACCGCAGAGCTTGCCTTCAAAGGCCCGATCGTCTAGCTTCTTCTTGTATCGCTCGTGATGAACGAACGCGCGGGCGCCGACGGCACGAAGTCGAGAGAGGTCCGGGGTTGTGTTGTACATCTTGGAATACGGCGTGGCTCCCCCTAGCGCCGCGTGTGGGGTCCTGTTGGTCAGGTATGCTGCAGTCATCATGAGCTCCCCCCACATGTGTT